TTTTGACTGTGGGCTGAAGCTTGAACCAGCACAGGCCATAACAGTATGGACATTGCGATATGATATTTTTTGTTTCAGAAGTAATGATAATTATTAATAAACGCTAGACAGTAAATTGTTCTGCAAAAAAAAAACATTTGCAAATCGGGAACGCCTTTGTAGTCGTCGAAGATAATTTTAATAGCATTTTATTTTTCGGTGAGCACTTAAAGCTCGTTTGAGTTCTGAAGTTTCAGGTCGGCCGTTGACCGTGGATGTTTCCCACCTCCCCTTCTCCTGTCATATGATTTTAAACACAAGTTTGTCCTTCGTTGGAAATCTAGGAAAGCTCGCTAAAAGGGGAATTTGTCTTAAAGTGTTTGCATGTTGAATTCAGCGTTGTAACTGTAAGTACACACCATGTATATCGCAAGTGCCTGTGGTCATAAAACCACAATTTTTTCAGCATAAATGATCGATAATGCATTTTGTGATACATGTATTATTGAGGACAGAAATGCATCGGCGAAAGAAATTTCGTAACTGCCGACGAATAAGTCTTTCATGCAGATGTTGAACTTTATTTGAACCGTTTTCTGGAATGTGGTCATCTGCAGCATTGTCTCTCAGCCCCTCCCCAAAATTATTTCATACACTTCGATTAAATAGAATGTAGACAAAGTTATATATAGAAGGAGAGTTTTTTAAACACCAGTGCTGGCCTCTTTGGCACAAGTTGCGGACTCCCGGTTGAGAAAACACTTTATTTACGGATCACTCAGTTCTACAGGTTGATGGGGAAAAAACCACGTATCATAGTTCCCAATGCGTACTGAAGTTTTAGTCTGCAATTTTATGAACTTTGTTGTTTATTGTGGGGCGAAGGTTTTCAGAGTGCGCGCTGTATTATATAGTCCTTTGAAGTTATGTGTGTGAGAGAGGCCAGAAGGCGGGGTAGCTCAGTCAGTTTTGTGTTTGGCCACGGATTGGACTGGGGTTCGAGCCCCAACAGGGACAAAGGACATTTCTACTAGTCTTTGAGGCCAAACCGTCTGTGGCCCAACCAGACTCCCATGCAGTGAGTTCCAGGACTACTCACCTCCATATCTCTTGTCGAGACTGAGGAGCTGTACCCCTATTCCACACCCGCACAGCGTGTAGCAGGAGAGCTTCCCTTGTCACAAACGTTTCGGAGACTGTCTCTGCTTCCGTCGTCAGGGTTGGATTAGAGCTCCGTTCTCACACGGCTGATCGCCCTAGAAGACTTCATTGCAAATCTATCTAGGCAAGCCGCGAAGTGAATTATCTGGATGAAAAGTGCCTTTATGTTGAACTTCCTTTCACAAACGTGCTACTACTGTTCTTCCATTCTCTTGTTGATTTTGTGGGCTTGTCTTGCCTTCTCTGCTTGCTAAAGGCTGATTGAACTTTGCCTGATCTTGTACTTGGTAATGGGGAGAGGAATTAATTTGACCTCTTGCACACGTATGAGGTTGCTTGTGTGAATTATAGCAGCTGAATTTGATCGCCATAGTTCATATTACATGGCTATTTCTTCCTTCAGTTCGAATTCGGTGTTTAGTTGGTAGGAGAAATGGATAACTTGGGGATTCTCAATTTTTCCCTGACCTAGGGCCGAATTTGTTCCTTCTTATGGACTGGCGGGAGGAGAGTTTATTAAAACGCTGTTACAGTGAATTGTAATGCTCCTAAATGTTGCAGACAGGTTCACATATTGCCGAGTAATGTTCTCGAACGTAATCAGTTCATTGTGAAATATTTGACATTGCTTTTGCTTGGGTAATCTTTCAATGACAGGTATAATGTCTGTTGTTGCGTTGATTTGCACGCGTCCTTCCAGGTATTCCTCAGTAAGGCGCGGCCTATTTAGTTATTTCACTATATTTAAGCCAAACATTTATTCACAGCCGCGTACAGCCACATTCTGGCGACGGTAATAAAGCGTGTTTTCTGATATCCGGTAAACGTTTTTAATCATATAGTGCAACATGATATTACAAAAGTGCACGCGGGCCGCAGAAAACGTGACGAGTCACATGCGGCTTGCGGACCGCAGGTTGATAACCCCTGGGATAACTGAAGCAGTTTGAAAACCGAAAGACTTTCTTAATTACGTAGTATTCAGGCAAACGTCGCTCTGACACAGCAGAATTAATGAGGTAAAGAAGTGGGTAAGCAGTGTGCTCTCAGCCGGCAAACAGAAGAGCATCGTCTGTTTAGAATTTGTATGTCGAAACTTTACCAGGTTTTACAATTGTGTGTATTCACCGTCAATCTCACTTTGTCATGTTAGTCAAAATAGGATAATTTCAGTACTTGAGAAAACTTTTAGAAATATTGTAGTGTATGTATAACGAAATAAAAGTAAAATATATTAATGTCCCTGCATTGCGAACACTCTGCTGTTGATTAGCTTTGTTAGCTGTTAAATTTGTCTCTTGATTCGTTCTGACAGTTCTTGTGTCATTGAATGTTGGTATATGATGTGTATGACGAGCTTCGTATTTGGTAGATCCCGCAGGCTAATATGGTAGGTTTTCGTGGGCTCTCGTTGTCTCTGCTGGTATATTCTGGAATTGCTACTTTAAGGACGGCATGGCTACTTACACGTCTTTTTCACGTTCCACGACCGTCCTCCCATTCCATGTGTGCCAATCGTGGTGTTAGTAAAGTGTAAAATTGTTTAATAATTCCTATATTTGTGGCTACGATAAAGGAAGATCAAGACAAATGAAGAATGAAAAATGAAAAATTAGTAAGAAAGCGGATAAAGATACTGCTCTGTTTTTCTCATATACGTCATGGAAATACTATGTTGCTGGGTGTGTTATTTAAAAGGTAACACAGAATCAGTCACATACTATACGATACAAAAGTGAAATCAGAAGCATGTCCATCCCCGTGTAACATTCTCTGGTAGCCTCATCCGTGGCGCTAGAGTCAAGGTCACCTATGTTGTACTGCTACATTCTGATGGACTTTACACCTTTCCTTTCCACTCTAGTTGTGTTTGACGTATATAACTCCTGCCTGTCTTTGCTTCTAAAGTTTTCGTGAGTATTTGGCAACACGTGGAAGAAAATTTGACAAACCTTTTATGTCGGGATTTTTAAGAGTTTTGTAAAAGAAACTAGTTTGAAATGAGATTGCATTACGTGTACAACGTATCGAGAGACCGTGCCATTAACAGCGTTGGGACACCATTGTCGATGGGTAATCGGGAAAGTGGCTTCGGTTTCGTCTTCATGTCTGGAACGACTGAGCGTATGCGAGGGTTGGCGTGAATAGACCCTGAAATGTGTGATCGAGTTCCCACTAACAAACGTTTACTTAACATGAGTACATTAATCCAGAGAAGGCATGCGCATAACACTAAAATACGTTGCACACTATTTATATAGCGATTACGCCTAAATTTAGGCGAGTCTTGACGATAAATGTTCGCCACCGCCCCTCGTAATGATTTCCGTATTATTAGCTCTGGCCTGCAATATACGGTTGTAGTGTCTGCTTACTCCTGACGGCTTTTGTCTTCCCGAGGGTAACAACCTGTGCGTTTATCATTGAATATTGAATGACGGCGGGGCGGAACAAGGAGAGTGTTCCCCATTCAACAGTTAGCTTGTCTTGTCTCGGAATTAGGATCGATCTTGGACGGCCGGCAACCTGTTCGCTCCCGGGTGAACAGACTGTAAAGCCATTCAGACGTAGGATCTGCCCCGGGCACATTTTATTGTCATGCGTAGGCCCTCTCAGGCCGTCCTATAGCACGGAAGCCATGATATGAACGTTCGCTTTTCTTTTCGAAGTCTGTGATGGTAGTTTCGATTTATGTAATAATACTTTATTTAAATACTATTGTAACGGCTTAAAATTATGTTTAAATCTTAACTGAATATTTTTTCGTTATGTAGGTCAGTATACATTGACATCATATATGCCTAAAGAAAAATATAGATTGTACAGGTCTGATATATAATACAAATGAAAAAGGCAGTAAAACATTACACTGTATACATAATTATGTATAAAGTTTTGGTAAAGTTACCTTCAGAAGCCCCATACTGTATAGACTAGATGGTATTAAGGTTTTTAGAATGCTATGTGATAGGAGAAAAAAAACATTTTTAATTACTAAAGTATTGTCCTTAATTGACTGTCTTTGAAATAAAATGAAAAAGTGTTATGAAGAACCCCCTCCCCCAATTTGCAGATATAATTTACTGAACATGAAACTAGTTTCATAATTCGTCTTCATGTGACTTTTGTAATAAGTTTCGTGATGGATATGCATAGATGGAAATATCGTTACAGAAAAATAACATACATTTCTGTAAATACTGTTTGTAATTTTTTTTGTTCATGGCATATTATTCTTGTTAAGTTTGATACAATATTCCATTCAAAATGGGGATAATGTGCTAGACCTTCATTTCAGAGCTTTGCGTAGTTTTATTATTCACTGTAATTCTCTCATTTGACACTGCATAGTCTGAGCTATTGAAAAAATATTGTTATATAAAGTTTAAATAAATAAATTGCAGATAGGCACAGTCGTGACAAATTCATCACACGTACACTATATCTTGATCAGAAGATTGTCATTATAATCATTTATATACAATAGAGAATAATTTTCCCACTCGTGTTTTAAACTACCTTCATTATAAGTGAAAATGTCTAATTTTGGGTTTTTATTCCTTGTACTTGCACACTTACACCAAAGAATAAGGGCATGCAGTCTTACTGCAGTGAATATGGCAGTGCAGTCTTATAAATAAGATAAAACATCTTTTGTACCAATTTCTATGAAATGAAACATGTCTTGGTTGATATGATCATCCCATGGTATATCCTGTTAATGCAGGTTGGAAATATCACAAAGAACTAAATGTTTACTGATGGCAGAATACTTTGAGAGGCGAAAGTACATGCCATTATAAAAAGTCTACTAAATTCTGATATTGTTAGTAATGTATTTTAATTATGTTTGTTTTTAGCGCAAGTCAAAAGGCCAGGAACTGCTAGATAAAATCTGCGAGCATTTGAATTTACTGGAAAGGGATTACTTTGGTCTTACATATGAAGACCGACACGACCCTCGCAACTGGCTCGAGATGGACAAACGTATTGCCAAGTTTGTCAAAAGTAAGTCTGTTTTCATTGTCCTGCAGTTTTATTAATATATCAAGGTTTTGCTGTTAGTAATAATTTATTTTCATTTCTACACTTTTTATTTATATTAATGATAGTGCCCTAAAAGTTTGTGGTCCTAGAATATGATCGTCGGAGCTTTGAACCTGTCTTTGTGTAACTGAAGACCTTAACAGCTTGCTTGTAATGCTGACCATATTCTAAGCTTAAGTGAAAGGTGGTAATGTAAAATAAATTCCATTTGATGTGAATCATGGTGAAGTGGCCCAAGACTGGCTGCTCCTGAATAGTTATTCCCTGGCATAAACATTTCTTGCGTTGCTCTTACATTTTGATCAATTGTACTCCTTACTGTGTCCTGTAATCCAGCTGCTGTCTCGATACAGCATTCCTAAGAATAAAAAAGATACCTTATCAAATTACATAAAAACTCTACTTGTGTTCAAAATATATTTTATTAAAGTTTATGAGTGTAGTTGATGTTTAGAGTAATTTGTACTATTTAAAACATATTTTTACTTTTAATTTATTTATTATTGTTCATTTATCTTTCACAGATGAACCATGGAAGTTCAATTTTGAAGTTAAGTTTTATCCACCAGATCCTGCTCAGCTTCAAGAAGATATTACTAGGTTTGTAAGAACTGAAATAAACTACATTTGTTTAATTATCAGAACAGTTTCTCGACAGAAATGTACTAGTTCAGGAGGTAATTGATAAAGGGCTGTGTTTATTCTTAATATATTATTATTCTTAATATATTAATATATTATAATTTGTACTTGTGGTGTAGCAAATAACAGCAGTGAGATTCTGCATGTTACTTACATGATGTTGTGGCCATGCAGCTGGCAGTTATCAGTTGTGTTACTTACAAAGCTCTTGTTCTCAGTATGTGGTGATGTGTAATGAAAATTAAAATATGTAAGATTTGAGGTTTTCACAGCGGTGAGTATGAAGATTTCTGTCTTCTGGGTTGTTACGCTGTGTATTCTGGTTGATGTTTACCAACATTTCAGAGGTCATACTGCGATGAATCACTCTGATGACGGAGGCAGTATGACCTCTGAAACGTTGGTTAACATCGACCAGACCACACAGCGCAACAACCCAGAACACGGAAATCTTCATACTCACCGCCCTGATGACGGAGGCAGTATGACCTCTGAAACGTTGGTAAACATTGACCAGACTACACAGCGCAACAACCCAGAAG